GACAGAGACGAGAGAAGAAGGAGAAAAGAGAAAGAGAAGAGAGAGAGGCAGGAAGAGAGAGAGAAAGAGAGAGACAGAGGAGAGAAGAGAGACAGACGAGAGAAGAAGGAGAAAAGAGAAAGAGAAGAGAGAGAGGCAGGAAGAAAGAGGGAAATAGAGAGACAGAGAAGAGAAGAGAGAGATGGAGAGGAGAGAAGAGGGAGAAAAGAGAAAGAGAAGAGAGAGGCAGGGAGAGGGAAAGAGAGACAGGAAGAGAGAGACGGAGAAGAGAGAAGAAGGAGAAAAGAGAAAGAGAAGAGACAGAGAAAGGCAGGAAGAGAGACAGATACAGAGAAGAGGAGAGAGAGACAGAGATGAGAGAAGAGGGAGAAAAGAGAAAAAGAAGAGAGAGAGAGGCAGGAAGAGAGAGAGAAAGAAGAGAGAAGAGAGACAGAGATGAGAGAAGAGGGAGAAAAGAGAAAGAGAAGAGACAGAGGCAGGAAGAGAGAGAGAAAGAGAGAGGACAGAAGGCAAAGAAAGAGGAGGGAAGAAAGAGTGGAAAGATGGAGAGGGGAGGGAGAGGGAGGGAGGAAGGGAGGGAGCGCCGTCCTCTTACATGTAGCACCTCAGGGGCCGGTATGTGGACACTAACACATACAAGCGCAGGTCAAACTTCCTCCCGCCAATGAGCAGCGGATTGCTGATATACAGAGAGATGACATAGGCTTCTTTGGACGACTGAGAAACAAACCTAGAGAAAGAGGAGACAAGTCAGCCCCCCAAGGCCCTGATCCCATCTCGGCCTCTGTCCTGGGGGCAGGAACATGACCAACCTCTCCCTGCATCTCCCCCAGAACCGAGCTCAGACGCAGCACTCCCTTGGGAGGAATCACGGGTCTGTACCAACTGCCCCGGCGCTCCCTCCGCCAAGGGCACAGGGGGCACTCTGGGGCCAAGGGCGACAGCAGCCTGAGTTCACAGAACAGTGACGGCTGACCGTGGACCGCTGGGGTGGGCGGGCCTCATGTAGTCTCACAACCACTTCAGAGAGGAGGACTTGGGGTTCAGAGAGATTTGAGGGCCCCTGGGCCCACAGCCTGACTGCCGCCACGGCCCGGGGCTACGTGACAGGCCAGGCCTCTGCTCCCCTCCCTGGGGACCCACGTCTGAAACTGGGGGGGACCCTCCAGGAAGCAAAGGACTCCCCACTCCACTGGTGTCAGGGCGCTGGCCACAAAGGAGGCATGAGGTGTGTATACTTCTTCCCACTTACGATGACGTTTTGCTGTCCCGAGACCACTTTTTAATCTGTGAGAGTTTATTGATGAGAAATATTCCCTTCCCCTGGGCCTTCCCACAAGGCTTCATAATCCACGTGCTGGAGGGGCTTTTCCGGAACTCCTCCACAAACAGGTTGTAGTCAGCGGGAAGCATGAAGGTGACTGGCACGAAGTCTGCAGGGCCACAGCAGAGGGCAGAGGTTAGGGCAGAGGTCGGAGCAGAGCCCAGACAGGCCCCAGAGCTCAGCAGCTCACCTCTCCATGGGGCCTCAGGCTTCCCTCCCCCCCTACCCCAGTCTGTGTGCGACTGGGGGAGGACACTCAGGGCAGCTCCCCAGTCAGGGGGCTCCTCACCCCAGCTCTGGGGGCAGCAGCCCCAGAGAGGCGCTATGACCACCAGGGACTGACATACCAGGGGGAGGGAGACGTAGAGACAAAAGGAGCTGCTTTAGCCAGGAGAGAGGCCAATCCTCAGGAACCAGAGGGGAGATGATGGTGACAGGAGGGACAAAGCGGCAAGAGGGGAAAACGAGGCAAGAACTTGGAACCTGGCTGTGCCACTAACTAACTAACCCTGTGACCTCACTAAGTTCCCCCTCCTAGGACTCAGCTTCCTCATCAAGATGAAGCAGTTGGACTAAATCCCTTTGGTATCTCCCACCTCTGTTCTAGGGCCCTCTCAGCCCTGACATCCCCTGTTCTAAGGGCTGTCTTAGCTCTGACCTTCCTTGTTCTTAGGCCCCTCCCAGATCTGACATCCCCTGTTCTCAGGCCCCTCCCAGATCTGACATCCCCTGTTCTAAGGCTCCTCCCAGTCCTGACATCCCCTTTTCTCAGGCCCCTCTCAGTCCTGACATCCCCTGTTCTAAGGGCCCTTCTAGCTCTGACATCCCCTCTTCTAAGGCCCCTCTCAGTCCTGACATCCTCTGTTCTCAGACCCCATCAGCCCTGATATCCCCTCTTCTAAGGCCCCTCTCAGTCCTGACATCCCCTGTTCTCA